ACATTTTCAAAATCCGTTCTGCTTTATTATATAGATATTAATTATTAATAAATATTACTTTAATTTTTTATTTACAAATTTATACATTTTAATAACCTTAACTATAAAAATATATCATTATCATGTTACTCATTATTCATTTGTATTTAGATAATTTACACTCGTCTCTTCATGAAATTTAATAAAAATGCAATTAACTTCATAAACTTAACATAATTATACTAATTTATGTTATAGTAGATTTGAGCCATCAAATCTATATGGCGAGTACAAATATAAATAAACAAAGATAAATATATAATTTAATAAAAATTTACACAATAATATTATTTTTCTCATTCATATGACTTACAAATTATTAATAAAAAAATCTAAATTTTATATGAATTAAAATATGAAAAAAGGTTAGTGAAATTATATCAAAAATATAAAACTTACTATATTTTTTCAAATCACAAGAAAAATAAATGTAATTCATTTATTTTTTATTTTTTTATTTCACATAATGATTGAGAATATATTAGAATAAAGTAAAAAAGAATGGCTCCATCAAAGGAACACAACATTTATGAAAAATATGGAAGAAGAACTTTAGGTCTCCTTGACCAAGACAACAACGTGGGCGTGGAAATGCTCAAAAGGGACTCCATTCACAACAATAGATGTAGAGGTGTTACACATTGAAGAAACAGCAATGCTACAGACCCCCAGTGGGGGTGACCCCCAGTGCCACGTGTCGGCCTGGGGTTGGCTGAAAACTCAAAAAAAAGAAAACTGTTTTTTTGGACTAATGGGAGGGGACCCCAGTACCCCCACTGGGGGTCCAAAGCTTTATTCTTGAAGAAATGAGACTGATTTTGGAAGAACTTCAAAAAAAAAAAAAAAAATTAAAAAAAAAAGCACAAGACAATACAATACAATACAATACAATATAGGCTTTGTAGAAGGAAATCACAATCATATGAACTCCGAATGGAAATCACATTCACTGGGTTTGTAGAAAAGTTTTCTATTGTGAATTCTCGTGATTCAGTTCATCAACGCATCCCTGTCAAAATTCGGCGGACGAGCCTACAACAAACTATTAGGAACATACAATCGAGTACACCTGAGATGTAATGGATACCACTCTGATAGCTAAAGGGTAATAGATATAACCTCTCAAATGTACACAACCAATTAACAGAAGAAAGAATGCATTCTGCGTAACACAAATCATAACTTGTTGAAACCATATACCACCAAGAATAAAGATGATAAAGGAAAACACAAATTGAAAGACCCCCTCAAAACAGCCATGCACATGGATCAATGATAACTTGTACTGCAAATCCATTAAGACATTCAATCATACAGCCAAAGAAAGGCTCTTCTGGGCTCCAATGTTATGTGGCCTTATTTCCCAGGAAGTAACCTCATATGCTTCTCCAGGGAGGATAAAAGGCAAAGAGATCTCTCGAATCATCAAGTCACCACAAAATGAGCATTCGCGAGCTATGGCATCATCCAATTGTGAGCATATCTATACAAGCAAATTAACATTTTTTAATCTATCTAATTCACTATGTAAGAAGCTACAATTTATGAATCAGTCAGCAGTTGGGTACGAAATTTATTCTAGAGTAAATTGGCACAAGAAAATCAAATGAAATAATGCTATCTCATTTACAAAAGCATTTGAAGCAAAAATCCATCATTTTTATTGAAATAAGAACAATAAGAACACCATTATCATCATTTACTTCACCATCAACTGCAACTTGTGCAGCAGAGACACCTCTTCAGAGGTCACGTACCAGTAAACGAGACGTGTTGGCCAGGAACACACTAGGGGCACGCTCTATTTTTAACCTTTTTTTTTTCAACCGAAACAGCATACTCAAGGTTGATAAATTTGATGAGAATAAATATTTGATACAGAATAAATATATAATATTAAAAAATATGACATATTACAAATATATAAATTGCATGTTTTGCATGTGTCCTTTATGTGCCGTCTCCTATATTTTATGAAAATTTGTGTGTCCGTCTCATGTCACATGTTTGTATCCTTACTTCTTAGACACCAACCATCAACACATAGGTACCACAACTAAAGTCTTTCTATTTTACTTCCAAAGTTTTTGATCGCCAACAAACAACAACAATTAAAAAAGAAAAAAGAGAAATTGTAGAAAAACCAAGGGCTTGAAAAGGAAGCAACAAAAATGAGTACACGACTTTATGGCAATGTTTCAGACTTTTTACGCTGCAATTAAATTGACTCATCTCAAAAGTAGTGAAAAAACTAAATGGAGTAGAATAATGCATATTGAACATGAGAAGATTCGACAGCAGAGACACGTTCAACACCAATTTTGAGTTGCTTAAACACATATGAAAAACATCATAAGGACCTTATTCGTCGAGGTCATGCTAGTTATGGATTCCTCTTCGGTTAAGGTACCATTAGACTCCTTCTTGGATTTACCTCCTAATAAAGTAAGTTGCTTTTGAAGATCCAGTATATATTCTGCTTGCAACATTCATTTGAAGGAAAAAGTACAGAAAACAAAAATTAAGCAAAAGGGACTTTGTTTACGAAATTACCCGTCTAACAAAACATAACTCTAAATAGATTCACACAACAAAATTAACAAAGAGCCACTATAAAAATCTATTATATATTGGAGGACATACACATGGTTAGAACGTTAAATTTGGTCAACTCAGCTCAAAAATGGAAACAAGCATACGCAGAATGATTTTGGGATGATGATATACTAAAAACTTCTAAATAAGTTCATATATGGGAGTTGTATCATCAGGTTTCTAAATATGTAACCTAGGCTTGTGCAAACAACCGAACCAACCGATCAACCCATTCAAACCGACCAAACTGATGGAACATTGGATGATTTTGACTGCTGCCACGGTCGGCTACGAGTTGCAAACCTTATATTTTTTGAATTAGCAGTCGGCCAACAGATTGAAAATCAGAAAATTCGTAAAAACCGAACTGACCGTATATCTTATATATTAAATATAAATTTTACAGGTGTCAAACTATATTTGGTTTACAAGATTGCACCTTATCAAATTTGTTGGTCTTTAATACACGAGTTAGCTAATCACTAAATAACTTTATCACTTTAACATTATTTTTTCTTTCATTCTCTATCTCAAAGATCTTCCAAATGTCTCATCACCTACCCTAACCCCTCATTCTCTCTCTTCAAAATACTCACCAACCCTCATCAATTTGCATAACTCTCTCAATCTCATCCTTATGTTCTTCTCTCTGTAAACCTGCTCTTTCTCACCCCCATCAGAGATCTCTTTCACTTGGATCTCTCTCAATTCAATAAGCAATGGTTTGCATATTGTTGAACTGATGGTGGTGAGGAATCGTGGTAGTCGACTGACGATGGTGATGAATCATAGTGGTCGACTGATGGTGGTGATGAATCATGTTATCAATTCTGATCTCCCTCATACCATTTATCCTTCTTTGGTCTCAAATCTCGCTACCCTACTATCTTCTCCCTCGAAACCCCATCACCGATCTCTCCTCAAACCACTACCATCATTGGAATCTTTGTCTACATCTTAACTTCTCTATTTTTTGTGTTGTTTGCATATGCTGTCAAAACCAACCGCTGATTTCGGTTGAGGAAAGATACGGTTTCGAATTAGAATTGGTCGAAATCGGTTGAGATAAACATGAACCCATACATTCGGTTCGGTTGATGGGTTTAGGGTGAACCCGACCTGACCCATGCACACCCCTAATGTAACCACATTTTTCTTTTGAACTAGTTAAGGACATAGTTATATCAGCTTAATCATCATATGCAGAACTAAGATTTAAAATTGTATCATTGGTGCCAATTTCATACTTATGTTCTGGGCTGTAGGTGAGACGTTGTGAGCCCTTCTGATAAGCTTTTGTTTGGCAATTGTAAGACTACCAAAACTAGCTTATAAGCCATATGATGACTAAATCAGGCAAGGATTCGCCTACACCCAGGGCAAGGAGGCCACCAGCAAAGAGTTACCCTTCCCCTAGGGAAGCAAGAGTTGAACAATGGGTTATCATATGCAATTTTATTTCCCATCCGATGGCAAAGTGTTAAATTAGTCACATTTTTTTAAATCAATTTTAATAAAACTATTTGTTGTCAAGATGATGAAAACATATTAAAACTTTCTAATTTTATTTTTGACAACCACTGCAAACCAAATTTGTTGTAGGCCGCAAATGTTGCTTTAGTATACCCCATCTTTGAGGATATTAACTATGTTTTAAGTGGTACATCCATGCTGGCAATAACAAGAGCAAGTACCAAGTGTAGTTAAGCATAAGATTTAATGGATCTTAATACCTCCTATTGTCATGCATTGCCACTTTAAACGTGCAATTACTTAAAGTAATGATATATGGATCAATACCCAATCATCTTTACAAATATACATAAATTTATGTGAAATCATTCTAGAACTTACTTGATCTTGGTGGGTACACCTTGTGACATGGGCAATCAGGCATTGGGCATGGAAGGCATCCACATGGAAAGACATAGAAAGGGGCCATTGCACCTACTGACGTATAACTCCTAGCCATCCAATGGTCCAAACCGGCAGTTAGAATCTTCCTCTAACAAGCTTGAAACTCGCAACTGATAAATAGATGCAACAAGTCAACTAATGATGAAAGTCAACTAGATATGATGACAAAGGAGTTGAAAAAATAATCGCGGAGGGGGGGGGGAATCCTAAAATACCAATTGTGCGTTAGAAGTTCCTATTGCTTCGGTATAGTACTATAAAATTACTCAAGCCAAAAATCAACCTACTTGAAAGAGAAAATAGAAAAGAAAAAATCTCTCTAAAATGAACACAAATAAAATAGACAAGTTTTTGCTTATTGAAATAAAAAATAAAAAATCCAGAGGAACTACTTGGAGCATTTCAAAGGCTAGCCAAATTAAAGTAAAAGATTACATTTCCAATCTATTGCAAATAATAGTTTATCAGAAGAAAAAAGAAAGAAAGAAATAAAGATCTATAGCAAACAACATCAAGAATATCGTTACCCCACAGTCCTCGTCACAATCAATGACAGCATATCGTTGAGCAAGTACACTGATATCATTTCTAATGTTATCAGCACCGTGTGTTGCATCGTTCATCTCCTGTTTCAGTTGTTCAATTTGCTTGTTGTAATCCTCTAATGATGAGCAAATTGCCTCCTAAAAACATATCAAAGAATTTAATTGAATGACAAATGATGAAGATAGTTTAGCATATGCCCACATGAAGCATTGGAAAAATAGTTTGCAACAGATACATGTGGTTTGGCACAGAGCTATTCAAATAAAAAGAGAGATTTTTTTTCACAATGGACATACATCATAGCATGTCAAGAAATGCCAAGTGGGAAAAACTAGGGAATCTAGAGTTGACCCTTACCCAAGGGTAATCCATTAATATATATATATATACACACACACACACAGAGAGAGAGAGAGAGAGGGGAAAATTAAAAGTAAGTTGGAATTAGGAAATGTAATCTCAAATCAGTGAAGAATTTTTAAATTGTAATACTGGTGGGCAGAAGGAAAAATAATTAACAAGGGGTGGAAACTACTCCCTGAATTGACCAAGCTACTCTCATCTTCCTTCTTCCTCTTCTCTCTTGCTCTTCCCTCTCCAACAATTAACACTGACCATCCCTTGCTAGCCACCACTACGCGACCCTGCCGTACCACCCCCAAGCCCTCCCGCCAACCCAGCCCCTCCCTACTCTTCATGTAATTGCCACCACTAGCGCCTCCCCACGACCCCAAGTCGCCACCACTATATGCTATACGAATTAGAACAAAAATATTTGTGATTGTTCTTTTCTCAAATTATTCCTGCGTTCTCTCGTGATGATTCCAATTGCAGTCCCCCACAAGTGACCTAGAGACAATGGTAGCCTAATATTGTAGAACACAAACTTGCCTTTTTAATTTATTGAATATAGAAAGGGAATATGAAAGCAACTATTGACACAGTTACGAAATGTATTTCAAAAAATATACAGTTATACAGCTGTTGTTAGACATTGTAAACTCTGAAGTTTATATGAGAAACTAACACTTAGCACTATTATAAAGAAAGGAAGCCTATGGAATGACTAGAACATATAGTACTGCATTGATTGCAGCACAAAAATTTGATACTATGATAGCAACAAATAAATAAATAAGAATAAAATCTAACACTCAATATTTCCTTCCGTTAAAACAAATGTTAGCCTAGTTATTAGTGAAAAACTAAGGTAAAAAAGTGTTACCTTGAAGTCATCAATCAGAGCAAAGTCCGGAAAGAAGGGAAAAATATCCTCAATTTTTAGCAGCCCGTCAGTTTCCTTGAGAAATGCTATTGCTTTTCGAATATTTTCCCTTTTAGTTCCCTTTTCTTGTTCAATGACATGTTTGGCAACCATAAGCCAGAGCGTCTTCCTTAAGTCTTCATCATTTTCAACCTTGTCAACTTCAGCCTTAGCAAGTTCTGGGTCAACCTAGCACACCAAAAGAAGAACTCCATGGAACAACAGCATACAAGATTTCCAAAAAGATTACAGTATTTGAGCACAAATAACCATTAATGTTTTCAAGAACAAGCAAGTGAATAAGAAACTGCAACAAAATATTTTAAGTGAAAAAACAATTAACCACAAGATACATCTTTAGTACATTGACAGCAAACTGAATTCCAAACCTTTAGACACAAAGTAAGTTTGTCCATTTGTCATTTTAAAAGTATGTCTCAAGTCTCAACCACCCAATTCCTCATGTAGCAGTCATGGACAAAAGAATTAAATAAATATAAGTTTAATAGACCCATAGTAAAGATACAAGGGAACTGACAACTCATCTCAATTTTAAGCTTTTCAGCCAACCAATTTCAATCTATTTTAAAGACTCCAAAAAGTAAATTGGAAACAAGGGAGAAAGGGGGAAGGACACAGATTTGATGGTTATAGAACCCCAATGATCATCCAGCCATTCTGATTGTAACTGATTGTAAAATTGATCCCATTTTGAACATTGTCAGTTGCCCAACTGGCATATGACAATATTTGGAAAAACCCACTAGAAATTAAACTGATCATTCCAAAAAGGTGAACCATAATAATAACAATAATACTAATAATAATATTAATAATATTTGAAGGTTAACTGCCAAATCATGTAAAAGATGCTAGACAATTGGTGATTAACAATTTAACAGCTTTTTTTTTTTTTTTTTTTGTGGTAAAGTACAATAGTTATGTAAAGTAGACTAATGATGACAAAATAAAACTGGTGAAATTTGGTGAATTTAAATTTTATAGAGAGCTAATTTAGTCACATCCATACAACCAATTAAGTGAACTTTGTATCACTACTACTTCAACATCTTCAGTTCAATGTCCATTTACAACGGACCCATCAAAAAGCACCTGCAGGATGTGGTTTTTCCTATGCCCTCTTTATGTACACCAATAAAAAACATAAAAGTTCTAGAATGAATCTTTTTCATGAGCCATTGTTAAAATTGTATGATTCAAACAATCACATGACCATGTGTTTTTTAGTCAAATAAGGAACAATTGTTATTGCCATAAAGAGTACAGCTTACGTTAGCCAAAAACAAGGTAATGTATGAAGAATACCATTACTACTGAAGATGGAGGGGGGGAGGAAGAAGGGAAATCAAAGAACCAATGAACACAACCAACCCAATTGGATAATAATAATACCTGTAGAGCAAGAGCAACTGCTTCTTCATGCATGGACATCATGCTGTATTTATGAACACAAGCCCGCATCTGCTTTTCCTTAAGGCAAAGGTGCAGGGCATAGTTGGGTCCATAGAAGAATTGGGGCTGCTAACTATGAAGAATAAAAGACTATTCTATTTTATTCAATCAATCCTCATATACACTGCTCAAGATATTTATAGAGAAAAATATGTAACTGACTCAGTAACTAATTAACCAACTCAGTAACTAACTTAGCTAACTAACTCAACTAACAAACACTTTAACTGTTTAACAAACATTACAGCTGTAGCTATATTTGTTACAGATATTTTCTGAAGAGCACTTAGGAGAACAGGGCTGTGATGAATCAGATAACACTACTGACTTCTTATTATGCTGAGACTGAAGCTTCGACTCTGCCTCTAGCAGCACCTACACCTGGTCTAACTATGAGGACTGCACCTGAGGCTGCTCCTGAGTATGTGAGTGCTGCTGCTGCTGCACCTGAGTATGTATCTTAGCACTCCCCTGCAAGCTGATAGGGCAAGGCTGCACAAGAAGCTTGTCTTTCAAATAAAGAAACCGAGAGGTAGAAAGGGTTTTGGTGAAGATGTCAGCCACCTGATCTGTTGTAGAAACATAGTTCAAAGCAATCACTTTGGCAACAACTTTATCCCGAATAAAATGACAGTCAATTTCTATATGTTTAGAGCGTGAATGGAAAACTGGATTAGAAGCCAATGCCATTGCAGAAATGTTGTCACACCAGAGCTCAGGAACAGAAGATGGAAAAAATATGCGTATCTTTTAGCAACTGCTGCAGCCAGGTTAATTCAGCAGTGGCATTAGCTAATGCTCTGTACTCTGCCTCAGTAGATGATCTAGAAACAATAGGTTGTTTCTTAGCACTCCATGAAATTAGATTAGAACCCAAATAGACACAGTAACTTGAAGTGGACTTTCGATCAACACCATCACCAGCCCAGTTTGAATCAAAAAAAGCATGGAGAGATAAGGGACCAGCAGTAAAGTGTAGGCCATGATGAAGAGTACCTTTCACATATCTCAACAAGCGTTTGACAGCTTGAAAATCAGCATTTGTGGGCAGATGCATATGCTGACATGCTTGGTTAACAACTAATGCTAAATCAGGTCTGGTAATAGTGAGGTACTGGAGACCACCAACAATACTCATATACAAAGAAGGATTAGAAAATGGAAGCTCATCTGAAGAAGAGGAAAAAGGTGAATAAGAAGTCTTGACAGTTAAAGGAGTGGAGCAAGGTTTACAATCAGTTAAACCAGCTTTGTGAAACAGCTCAGTGGCATACTTAGTTTGAGATAAGAAGTAACCATGAGATAAGGCTTGAATGGAGATGCCCAAGAAATAGGACACAGTCTCCAATTCCTTCATAGAGAACACTGTATGCATATGCTGAATAAATTGTGCAAGAAGAACAGGATCACTGCCAATGACTAGAATGTCATCAACATAGACAACAAGAATATGCAAATTGATGGAAGTGTGTTGAACAAAAAAAGAGGAATCTGAATGACTATTAACAAAGCCTTGAGAAATGAGGACTTTAGAGAAAGTAGAATACCAAGCTCGAGGAGCTTGTTTAAGTCCATACAAGGCTTTCTTGAGTTTGCACACTTGATTAGAAGACTGAATAAAACCTAGAGGTTGTAACATATACATTTCCTCATCTAATGTGCCATGAAGAAAGGCATTAGATATGTCTAATTGATGAATAGGCCAATTAAAATGGAGAGCCAAACAAAGAAAAATACGAATTGTAGGCTGCTTAGCCACAAGGCTAAAAGTTTCATGGAAATCAACACCTTCTTGTTAAAGATATCCCTTTGCCGCCAATCTAACTTTATATCTTGCCACAGAACCATCAGAATTCCTCTTGATTCTATACACCCATTTACAACCAATTGCTATTTTATGAGGAGGAAGAGACACAAGATCCCAAGTGTCTTGTTGCTGCAAAGCTTGAAATTCGTCTTGCATAGCAGTAAGCCACACAAGAGAACCTAAGGCAGCTTGAACAGTAGGAGGTTCAATGTGAAGATAAGAAGATGTGGTGGTTGTAAGACACAGAGGAGGTTTTGTTTTGGATCGAGTGAGCATGGGATGAACATTAGAGGAAGCCAAGGAAGGAACCAGGTTAGAAGGCAAGCCAGAAGGTGGAGGAAGATCAATGGAAATAGAATGAATAGGAATAGCATGAGAATAAGGAGAAAAATTCAGAGGTGAGGAGGCTGTTGGAGAACTAGAATTAATAGGACTATCATGAGGAGAAGAAGGAGATGTAGATGCATCATGAGGAGAAGAAGGAGATGTAGATGCAGAAGAATTGGTAAGAGAATCAGAAGAAAGAGAAGAAGGCCAGAAGAAATTATGAATTTGAGACAAAGAGCTAGTGGAAGATGAAGAGAAAAGAGCAGGAGAAGAAAAAGGAAAACGGGTTTCATTGAAGATGACATGCCTAGAAACAAATATTTTGCCACTAATAGGATCTAAACACCTATAGCCTTTGATAGTGGGATGATAACCTAAAAAGACACAAGATAAGGACTTAGGTTGGAGCTTGTGAGTGGTATAAGGCTTTAACCAAGGAAAACGCTGGCAACCAAAGACTTTGAAGGAAAAAACATATGGAAGTGTTTTAAACAAAATCTCAAATGGAGATTGATGAGACAGAACAGAACTAGGCATTCTATTGATGAGAAAAACTGTTGTAGTAATAACATCAAACCAATATGTCAAAGGTAGAGAAGATTGATAAAGCAGAGTGATAGCAGTTTTAGTGATATGGCGATGCTTTCTCTCAGCAACACCATTATGTTCTTGTGTATAAGGACAACTGGTTTGATGAATAATACCATGTGAAGAGAAAAGAGAAGCAACCTTTTGGTTTACAAATTCAGTCCCTCCATCAGTTCTTAAAATCTTAAGAGAAGTGTGAAATTGATTTTCAGCATAGGCTTTAAACTCAAGCAATTTTTCATAAACTTCACTTTTAAAATGTAAGGGATAGATTCAAGTGAATCTACTACAATCATCAACAAACAAGACATAAAATCGGAAAGGAGCATTATTAATAGTAAAAGGTCCCCATACATCAGCATGTACAAGAGAAAAAGGACTATCACTAGAAGAGCAAGACAATTTGAAAGGAAGTCTATGACTTTTTGACACATAGCAGTCAGTGCAATCTATGACTTTATTAAAACTCTTTTTATTTGGAAGATGAGAGGCCAGGTGTTAAAGCTTGGAAATAGAAGGGTGACCCAATCTTTGATGCCACAGCAAATCAGAGATTGGAGAGACTGAACCAGTGGATGACTGAAAAGCCTGTGGTTGCTTAGGATAGATAGAAGAGTGGGAGACAGCTGATAAAGGCCATTGATGTTTGAGCCTTTATGCAGAATTTGTTTTGTGTGTTTGTCCTGAATGACAAAAGAATCAGAATCAAAAATAACACGACAATTATGATCCTTGGTTAATTGATGAATAGATAACAGATTGGATGATATAGAAGGAACATGCAAACGATTGGACAGATAAAAGGAAAATTGAGGTGTAGGAAGAATACCACTTCCAACATGTTGAATAGGTAAAACTGAGCCATTGCCTACTGTAACCTGATATGAGCCTTGATAGGCTTGATACTGCTGAAGATTGGTCAAATCATGTGTAAGTGAGTTTTTGCTCCTGAATCAATGTACCAAGATGGAACAGGAGAATCTGATGAGAAAGAAGCTACAGCAGCAGCATAGGCCTTGGGAGGTGCTGAAGGTTGATATTGTGGATCAAGTCGATACCAACAGTCCAATGCAAGATGACCAGATTTGCCACAGATCTGGCAGATAGAGAAAGCAGAACCAGAATAGGCTGATGCTCTGGATTGATTGTGAGAAAAACCAGAATAGGCTGATGCTCTGGATTGATTGTTAGAAAATCGATTATGAGATCTGTTACCACGAAAAGACCTACCACTTTTACCTCCTTTGTATTGAGATCTACCAGTAAAAGAAGGGTGAGGATATGATCCAAGAATGGAGTGTTGTCCTTCAAAACCAGAACCAGAAGTAGAACCTTTAGGTACTGAAGAAGCAACATGCAAATCAGTTTGGAATAATGCTTGATCTTGCTTTCAATGTGAGTTTCTTCTGAGCCAAGTAAGGAACATAATTCTTCCATAGAGACAGCATTGGATCTGGTACGAATGGATGTTTTGAATGCATCATATTCGTCTGGTAAGCCATTTAAGGTAAGAAGAATAAGATCTTCATCCTCAACCTGTGCACCAGATAGAGCTAATTGATCTGAAACTGCTTTGATCTGTGAAAGACAGCAGTCAATTGAAGAAGATTGTTTGCGAATGGTATGAAGCTTGTTCTTCAGTTGATGAATATGAGATCGAGAGAAAGAAGTAAATTTCTTCTCTAGGGTTTGCCAAACTTGAGAACTACTGTGGAGATGAAGAACAGAGGAATATACTGATGAAGATAAAGTTGCAGTTAAACACGTAAGCAGATTTGCATCAATGGCTTCCCATTGAAGATATGCAGGATTGGAAACAAATTTTCCAAATGCATCAGTAATTTCAGACGGAGGACAAGGGATTGCACCTGTCACATAGCCAAGAAGACCTGTAGCTCGAAGAATATTATGGAGTTGATTTCTCCAAATCAAAAAATTTGTGGAATCAAGTTTAACGGTGATGAGAGAACCAAAATTGGACAGAAGAGACTGAAGACTTGAAGGTAAAGAAACAAGATCTGCCATGGATGACTCTTGAAGGATGCTGGGAAGAGCTTAGGAAGGCTCTGATACCATGTGAAGAATAAAAGGCTATTCTATTTTATTCAATCAATCCTCATATACACTGCTCAAGATATTTATAGAGAAAAATATCTAACTAACTCAGTAACTAATTAAACCAACTCAGTAACTAACTCAGCTAACTAACTAACTAACTCAGCTAACAAACACTTTAACTGTTTAACAAACATTATAGCTGTAGCTATATTTGTTACAGATATTTTCTGAAGAACACTTAGAAGAACATGGCTGTGATGAATCAGATAACACTGCTGACTTCTTATTAAGCTGAGACTGAAGCTTCGACTCTGTCTCTAGCTGCACCTGCACCTGCACCTGGTCTAATTGTGAGGACTGCACCTGAGGCTGCTCCTGAGTATGTGAGTGCTGCTGCTGCACCTGAGTATGTATCTTAGCACTAACCCGCCCTTTGCCAAACTTGCATTGCAAGCAACGAAAAAGGGTACAGTCATCCTCCTAATTGTGACATGGAAGGAAAACTAATATCAAACTGAGATGCATTTTAAGCATTCATTGCTTGTTTTTGTGGAGGGAAAAATCATGCAATAATCTCACTAGTTATATGTAAATAGATAGATCTTCTGAAGAAAACATGTCATAAAGAAATTTGTAAAATCAAAGTTCAATGTCATGATGCAATTGTAACTAGAGATTATACGCTCTCCTCAAATCCCATGCAGCCTACAAATATCCCCCAAAAAATACACAACCAGTTGAACTCAATTTTATTGGAACATGAGCATCTTGAACAAGTGAAATTCCATGACAACACCCATTTTCCTTAAATGAGAACCATTTTGCTAATGAATCTGCAAATCTGCATTTATTAAATTTGGTATTGGGCCATCTCTATTTTCAAACTCACTGACAAGTATAAAATTCCATTTGATGTGTATCTCCATTCGTAACATAAATATTCCAAACATGTACCAAAAGGCCCAAAACATAACAAAGACAATATTAGAGATTACAAATGCAACAAAACAAACATAAAGCATTATTGCATTCTTAAGTCAAAATAGAAACCACCTTGAGTTCGAAGGGGGCTATTAGTAAATATATTTTGTATACATATTATATAGTAACATGTATTATTTCCATAATAGGGCAAATAAGATAAATGTGGGGGAAAAAAGCAAATTAAATAAAACTCTAATAATAGAAAAATTGAGAGTAAAATATATATTTTTATTTTAATAATTAGATTTGAATTATTAAAAAAAATTCAAGTTCAAATTTAACGATATGTATAAAAATAAGATAATTTGTGAGAGAAAAAAATAAATTAAATAAAACTCTAATAATAGAAGAATTGAGAGTAAAATATTTCATTTATTTTTTTTAATAATTAGATTTGAAATATTTTAAATTAAAGTTTATCATATCTTTTTGAGTATATAAGTATATCCATATCCTTTTTATTTCAAATTTTACCTTTTTTCATAAAATAAATAAATTTTTATTAGAAATTAGAAAAAAAATGGAAAGGAAGATTTATAATACTGCCAAGTAAGAAAGATAATAATAGAAGAATTGAGAGTAAAATATTTTTGTTTATTATTTTAATAATTAGATTTGAAATATTTTAAATTGGAATGTAACATATCTTTTTGAGTTCTATATGTATATCCATATCTTTTTTATTTCAAATTTTACTTTTTTTCATAAAAAATATTTTTTTTTTAGAAATTATGAAAAATGGAAAGGAAGGTTTCTAAGACTGTCAAATAGGAAAATAATAATAGCAGAATTGAGAGTAAAATATTTCATTTATTTTTTTAATAATTAGATTTGAAATATTTTAAATTAGTGTTTATCATATCTTTTTGAGTTCTATATTT